TCCTGCTGCTCCTAATAATCTTCTGGCCACTAAACCTCTCCTTTTCGAGCAAATGATTTTAGGATAATGTCGCCACCAAGTTTCTCTTGTACTCACAAATTCACTTCTTGGGCTTCTTCTTCTGTGTTATTTACTTGAAGTTTTTAAATCCAAACATGGTTAAAATGGGTGGTTGTAGCTACGTAGAGCATGGCGTCCATGCTCCACCCCACAAGTCGCTCCTGCTTTGGGGCAATAATGGACATCCCCCACATTTGCCAGCTGTGGGAGGGGCCAGAACAGAGCTCCCTGCTCCAGGCCTCTCTCCAGGAGGTCTGGCGGAGTTCTCCCGGCAACCAGGACACTCCAAAAGTAGCAAAAAGGGGTCAGGCGGCTCAGAGCAAACTGAAAGCCACCCGGCGCCGCGCCGTGCCAAATTCCGGTCAGTTCGCCCTGCTATTTTCTAGCAGCCCTCCATCCCTTTTCTGAAAGTCCCCATAGCCTTTCCCCCTTTCCTGTTTTCTTCTCTCTTTCCCACCCCACCTACCAACCTATCTTCATCTGTCCTATTTTGAGCTTTTGTTCCTTCCCTCCCCCTGGTAGCTTCTCCCTAGGAAATCTCTGACCCAGTTGTGCAGTAGGGATGGGCACAAACTGCGTTTTTGTGTTGGGTTCATGGTTTGTGACTGAACCACAAACTGAATCGAATTGATATATTTTTTAATTTATTAATTGAATTTATACCCTGCCCTCCCCATCCTCCTGTGCTGTTCTTATAGGTTCGTGGACCATTTAAAGTTTAAAACCCTGCTTTCTGCTCCTCTGAGCCATTTAAACCTAACAGCTGTGTAGCAGGGAACTCCCAGCGACTGAGCTGTTTCTTGTTAACAGCCATTTAAACCCTACTTTCTGCTCTTCACAAACCATCGTGAACCACCATGAATTATGTCAAAATTTGAGGTAGTTCATCCCAGTTTGTGAACCTTGAACAGGCCAAAATTTGTGACAAACTTTGGTTTGTCAGTCAGTTTGTACCCATCCATATTGTGCAGTGCTGGCCACCAGGCTGGGCCAGGCCCAGTTGTGCAGTTGAGAACCTGCAAAGACTTGAGAGGGGCACCTAACTTTCCCCAGTTTTTCTTCCCCAAATTATACCCTCTTTTTTCTTTCCCTCCTCCTGGCAGCAACCATATCCTCATTTTGCTTGCTTCCTTCTTTCCACCCACCAAGCAACCTACTTTTTATCGGCTCCTCCTCTTCAGCTGTATTTATTTATTTTTTCATTTATACCCCCGTTTCTCCACAATGGGGATCCAAAACACCTTACGTCAATCTCTTTTCCTCCATTTTATCTTCACAACAACCCTGTGAGGTAAGTTAGGCTGAGAATGTATAACTGCTTTAAGTTCACCCAGTGAGCTTCCACAGCAGAGTGGGGATTCAGACCTGGGTATCCAAGATCCTAGTCCAGCAGTCTAACTGCTACACATACTGCCTTTTTGTAGGATCCTAGTCCAGCAGTCTTAACTGCTACACATACTGCCTTTTTGTAGGATGGCTGCTGTTGAGCAGTAGCAAGCAGTTATATATGGGTGAGTCTTGCAAGTGGTAGTAAGTTGCCTGATGGTTGCTGCCTGGCCCGGCCCCAACAATTCCTCTGTCATAGGCCAAAATAATCTTGAAAAGGGCCCTTCCCCTCCCCCTAACTTTTACTGACAGAATCAAAGGCTTAAAGGCTGGCAGTGCTATTGTGGTTGCATAGCCACTGAGAGCATTTGTTTCTTAAAGCTACAGGTGTTCCTTTTGTTATTGGTAGGGGAATTAACTCCCTAGTGTATTTTTTCTTAAATTTCAAATTTTTCTGAAAATCTGGGGTCTTTTTAGGGTTGGTTGAAAGATATGTCATATCTATTTATGTCTGGGCTATGGCTGGCAACGTTGAGAATTAGATATACTGATTATATTTTTTAATACTTCAGAGGATTGCACTGTTGTGTGATGTCTCTTTGCACATGCACTCCCCTCCCTTTTACTAGAATCCCTATGGTCCACTGATGCATTTAGAGTTTATGAAGCATGAATGCATACTCAGGATCTCCTAAGCTTAAACATGACTGATCTATGTTGTGATTTTTAGTATGCACTTTTGATTGAAAAAATAATGGCTTGATGTGGATAAGGTCTATGTGGTCCAGTGTTCTTACCAAGAATCCCTACAGTTGCCAACCACAAGGTAGTACATGGGAAATGACAAGAAATCTACCCCATATCAGTGAACAAAAACTAGCTTTTCTCCACTAAGTTTTTGCAAAAATTACTTTTCAGCTTTGTAACTAAGCAATTTTCTTTCCATTTTAGAATCTCACTTAGCAAGCTGGACTTTCCCCCCAACTAAATGAAAAATAACTCACTTTCCCCCTGAATTTTGGATCTATCCTGCCAGTCTACTCTGTGAGCTTCTGACCTTCCCATTTGAGAACTTCTACTTTCTCCCCCCAATTTTACCAGTGGGACAGTAGGAACAAGCTTTCTTTCTGGAGCCCCTGTCACCTCTCCTCATGTTTGTCCTCCTCCCTCTAGTGCCAAATGCTGCAATTATAGCTCACCAAGGTGCCTGGTAAAAGTAGTTCTTCGAGTCTCCTGGGTCCATGCTATATTTCATAGTGTTCCTTGTCGTGGAACAGTATACCTGCTGTGGCAACATTCAGAGGTGGGGGAAGGATTCAGTGCTGATGCCACTTCTGTCTGTGGCTAGGGATACCAGCCCTAGATTGGGAAATACCTGGAGATTTTGGGGGATGAAGCCTGGAGAGAGAGGGGTTTGGGGAGGGGTGGGACTTCAGTATAGTACAATGCCATAGAATCCACCCGCCAAACCAGCCATTTTCTCCAGGGGAACTGATCTTGGTCATGTGGAGATCAGTTGTAAAAACAGGGGATCCCAAGGCCCCACCTGGAGGTTAGTAATCCTAACTGGGGTGGGAGGGAGAATGAGATTCTGTAACTCAAACTGCAATGCAAGATGAAGAGCTCTTGGGGCTGTAACACCTCAGTTTGCTGGCAGCATTGGAAGCATCCATTAATATTCCAGGCCTAGGAATAAAGCACATAGATGGAATCATTATTAGAATTCTACAATGTCTGAAGTAAAAGGTATATGTCATATGAGACAAAATAAATTAATATTTTATTTGTGTATTGAACAGTATTGGAAAAAAGTGAATTTAAAGATGAACCTCTGCTCTTTCGTTTTTTCGCGGATGAAGAAATGGAAGGCTCAGACATGAAACACAGGCTTATGAAACATGATTTAAAAGTAGTGGAAAATGTAATAGCCAAATCACTGTTGGTAAGTTTTAAAAAATGTATATTTGTATTTTTCCATTTTGCCAATATATTCAGTACATTTGTGATGTATGAAATATATTATTTTTAACATAATAGATGGTAGTTGTGAGTCAACAAGGCAACATTTTTTGGGGTAACAAAGATGGTTGAGTAGAAGGACTCACTGACAGGTAAGCAGGTGGATAAGTGATTAAACTTATGCAAGCAGGTATGTAGATTGACCATCTGCCTATATGAGTTGTACAAACTGAAGATCCAGGCCTGTGTATAGAACCAGAATGGGATTCTGTTGACCTCTAATCTCTCCTGGCCTAGAATCTGAAATAACTTTCTTGGTCATCTGCAGAACAACATAGTTGAAATTAACTGTTGCCTTTTACTTGTAACCTTTTTTGGTCAGATGGGAAGCAAGGAGTATGAGCCCCATCCACCTGTGCCAGTGAAGCAGGTCCATATCACATTTAAATGCTTGAGAAGTTACCGGTTTGGCCCATGTTTTGTTCTCCAGTCATGAACAAGGAGCTGATTTTTTGAATATCAGTTTGACTATTCAGTGACTGGTTCATGGATGTTTGACAAGCTGCTTCATTGTATTTTTTCTTGGTGCAATTTTCTCTGTCATGCCATTGGAAGGCTGCAAGGAGAGTTCTCCCCATGGGATCAGTTCCTTTACAGCTTTGTTGGGCAGTCTGGTTTGAACTGGGCTGCCCAGCAGAACCCCACCCAAGCCTGTAGGGAAGGCAGGATTAGCTGGGGTGGTGCAGAGCTGCCAGCTCCATGCCGTTTTGGTTGGGGCTGGCTCACTCAAATAAAAGCTGAAAAATTGGCTTTTTTCAAGCTGATCATGGAACATGGATCATCGGAGCTTTTGAGACGCAACTTGGGAGATCCGTGGGGGCCGGGCTCGGAGACGCTGCTTAGGAACTCTGAGGGGCCAAAACAACAGTGGCCTCCTAGTGGTGATCGGGCGAACAACCAGCCGACCGGTGACCTCTAGTGGTGACTGGGTGAACTCTCTACTTGTCGGCAGGGCGGTTGCTTAAGATCTGACGCTGCCTAGTAATAGGGGTAAATGAGTGAATGACTTTGCCTAGTAATAGGGGTGAATGAGTGCTGGTGGCTGTGTGTGGATGATGTCTGGCTATTAGCGAATGAATGCTGGGTGGAAGTGTTGTCTGACTAGGAGTACTGGGGATAGGGCTATTTAATTGTATTAGGTGTTGTAATTTTTTTATTGTTATTTCCTAGTTGACCGGTTGAGTTAGAAACATTATTTTAGCAGCATTCTAGTTTTTAGTAGCAGGGCATTATTAGTTTTAGCCTGTTGGTTCAGGAGTGGTGCGTGGACCATCCTGTCTGCTTTTGACCTGGCGGTCTGAAGTACAACGAAGACGGCCAGGGGGACTGAACTATGTCGGAGCAGCAAATTCCGGTGCTCTTGGGGAGGGGGAAGTTTAGCGGTGGGCCTAGGCATGATATTAAGGGAAGGATGCGGAGACTGCGAGTGGCTCAGCGCCCTTCCAGCCTACAGCTCATCCCAAGGGTGGCTGCCAGTGGGGCCAGGATTGATAACCCCCTTCCGTCATTGGTGTTGTGCAACGCCAGGTCCATTAACAACAAAACCACAACCCTTCGGAATTTTGTGTTGGAACATCAGGCGGACCTGGCGTGCGTGACCGAGACCTGGGTGAGGGAGGGTGAGACGGTAGCTCTCACCCAGCTTGCCCCCCCCCCGGTTATTCAGTCCTTCATCAATCATGGACTAGGGGGCAGGGGGAGGAGTGGCTATTTTCATTCGGGAGGCTTACTCCTTCAGGGCGCTCCCGTCCGTGGAGATCGCGGGCTTAGAGTGTGTTGGCGTGATGCTGGAGGCTGTGGAGAGTGTGGCGATCTGGCTGGTGTACCGACCGCCTAATGCACTGGCCAGTAGCCTGCTGTCCCTGCTGGAGGTCGTATCAGGCTGGGCGATGGATCACCCTAGACTGATTGTCCTGGTTGATTTCAACGTCCATGCCGAGGATGCGACCTCCAGCTGGGCTACGGACCTTGTGTCATCCATGGCGGCGCTGGGACTCTCGCAGTTTGTATTGGCCCCCACTCATTGGGCCGGTCACATGCTCGATTTGATCTTTGTGGCGGGGGTGATGGTGGGTCGGATCTCTGCTGAGGCAGTGCCATGGTCCGACCACCTGGCCCTGAAGGCCCATCTGAATGTTCCACCCTGACCTTTTCTAGGCGATGAGCAGATTTATGCTCGCCCGCGAAGCCAGATGGACCCGTTGCAGTTTCAGAGGGCTCTGCGGGATCCGAGGCCCCCTGGTGGCTCATTGGATGAGCTGGTGGAGGACTGGGAATTCCGGCTCTCCGTAGCCATCAACGAGATCGCTCCCAGGTGTCCTCTCCGGACTCAATTGAAGCGGGCTCCTTGGTATACCCAGGAGCTGCAGCTGATGAAGTGAGAACTGAGACGACTAGAGAGACGGTGGCGTCGCTCTCGCGATGAGGCGTCAAGAGCATCTTATAGGACGTTTATGAGATCCTATGAGATGGCAGCTAAGGCTGCTAAGAAGAATTTCTTTGCAGCTGAGATTGCATCTGCAAGCTCATGCCCGGCCCAATTATTTAGTACGATTCGGTCCTTGACAGACCTGCCACAGGGCAGGCGAAATGATAGGGAATTGGATATTGGCTGTGAGGCCTTTGCGAGCTATTTTGCAGATAAAGTCTTGACGCTCCACCGCGACCTCCCCGCCACGATTGAGACAGTAAGCGAACTCGAGGCCCCTTGCGAGTCCTCGGTTCCGGGTTTAGAGTGCTTTCGCCCACTCAGCCTGGACGAAGCTGACAGATTGCTTGTTTCTGTGCGCCCAACCACATACGACCTTGATCCGTGCCCCTCCTGGCTCATTAAAGCGGGTCATGAGGGGTTTCGAGGTGCTCTGCGGGAGATTGTCAACAAGTCCCTTACTGAGGGACGATTCCCCGGAGCACTCAAGGAGGCGATGGTCCGCCCTCTCCTTAAAAAGCCATCTCTGGACCCGGCCGAATTGGCCAACTATCGGGCAGTGTCCAATTTGACCTATTTGGGCAAATTGATAGAGAGGGCGGTGGCGACACAGTTACAGGGCTTTCTGGATGACTCTTCAGTCCTGGATTCCTTCCAGTCCGGCTTCCGCCTGGGTCACGGGATGGAGACTTTTCTGGTTGCCCTGACAAATGATCTCCGAAGGCATCTGGATCGAGGTGGTGTGGCGGCATTGCTGCTGTTAGATCTGTCGGCCACATTCGATACGGTCAACCATCAGCTGCTGACCCACCGCCTTGCCAACGTGGGGATTCAGGGGCTTGCCCTATAATGGTTTGCCTCTTTTCTCCAAGGTCGGGGACAGAGGGTGGCGATTGGGGATCAGCGCTCCCGGAGGCATCCTCTTGAGTGTGGGGTGCCTCAGGGGGCAGTGCTTCCCCCAATATTATTTAACACCTATATGCACCCCCTCGCCCAGATTGCTTGGAGTAATGGGCGGGGGTGTCATCAATACGCAGATGACACCCAGCTCTATCTAATGTTGGGCGGCCGGTCAGACTCCAACCTGGATGACCTTCATCGGGCATTGCAAGCTGTGGCTGGTTGGCTCAGGCTGAGTCGACTGAAGCTAAACCCGGCGAAGACAGAGGTCCTGGGCCTAGGTCGGGTCATTTCAGGGTTGGGGTTCCCTCTCCTGGCCTTCGACGGGGCGCCTTTGGTGCTGGCGCCGAGGGTTAGGAGTTTGGGGGTGCTCCTGGACTCCTCTTTAACGATGGAGGCCCAGGTAGCAGCCACTTTTAAGTCAGCCTTCTACCACCTGTGGCTGGCACGGCAGTTGGCTCCCTACCTTGACCGCGATTACTTGGCTATGGTGATCCACGTGACTGTCACCTTGAGGTTAGACTACTGCAACGCTCTCTACATGGGGCTGCCTTTGTCGCAGATCCGGAAGCTGCAGCTGGTGCAGAATGCAGCAGCCAGGCTGTTGATGGGTCTCCCTAGGCTGGATCACATCCAGCCTGTCCTGAAGGCGCTGCACTGGCTACCAATAGCGTACCGGGTCCGCTTCAAAGTGCTGGTTCTTACCTATAAAACCCTACATGGCCAGGGTCCAGCTTACCTAAGGGACCGCCTTTCCCCATGTTTCCCCAAGGGCACTACGGTCTGGGGCAAAACATCTTTTGGTCGTCCCAGCCCCTAGAGATGTTAAATATGCTGCGACTAGGGCCAGGGCTTTTTTGGTGGCGGCTCCTATCTGGTGGAATGAGCTCCCAGAGGAGACCAGGGCCCTGCAGGACCTTATGCAGTTCCGCAGGGCCTGCAAGACAGCGCTCTTCTGCCAGGCTTTTGAGTAGGAGCCGCCACTGTCACTGTAGCACCATCGCGTTGCCATCTGGGCGACGTGAACTGGCCTTGGGAATGGAGAACGGACATGGTGAAGACCGATCAAGAAGAGACAGTAGTGCCCCCTGAAACATTGTATTGGAGTCCCCACCTCGGATGATATTATGTGAGCACTGATTTTAAATGTAAAATGTAATTTGATTGTTTTATTGGTTTTATTGTTATGTACGGCATTTGCCTCTTGTTAGCCGCCCTGAGCCCATGTGGAAGGGTGGGATATAAATCAAATAAATAAATAAATAAATAATCTGTATTCAGCATAATAAATATCTGAAAAATACCTTATCAGTATTTTTCAGGTATTTATTCAGTTCGGTTTATACCAAATGCACACCGCTAGTAGTAATCCTAGCACTTGATGGAGGCTCATAGGAAAACAGGGTATTAGGTACTCACATTTGAACACATGTATAATGTTCTGTAATTTTTATATTAATTCAAATCTTTCCCCCCCTTTCCAGATTAAATCAACTGAAGGAAGCTATGGTTTTGGCTTAGAAGACAAAAACAAAGTGCCGATAATTAAAGCAGTAGAAAATGGATCAAATGCTGAGGTGATAAGTACATTAGTATCATTTATCATTAGTATAATTAGTATATATCATTTATCATTAGTATTTCTCGTAAACTTGCTCTACTTTTAATGTCAAAGGAATATGGTTTGAAAAGGCTGCTATAGAATGTTGCTATTCACTTCAGTTTGGAAAATAGCTCTGCATGTGTAGTAAGAAACATGCATGGCACTGCTTGAGTATTGAATAGACTAGAGAGACAGTTTACACTGGAGCTGTCTGTGCATGGTAACTCTAAATTATCCTTACAACATTTAAATTATTTTTAAAATCATGGTAGCATTGTTTAAAATTGTTCTTGGTTGCATTAAAACCTTGTAATTTAGAACACGAGAAGTAGTAAGCTGATAGGCTGCTGTATTTTAGAGTAATGGTGTTTTTGAGAAAGAAGTCTGTAATATAATTGCCCCCCCAGACGGAAGAAATAGTCAGACAACAAGGTTGGATGAAACAAGGCCACTTTATTAAATTATTAACTTTTTAACTTAACGGCAAAGGACAACCATGAAAACAGCGGCACGGCCGGGCCTGGCGTCGCTTCGACTCCCATCCTCAAACCATAGGAAGGCAAGACACCGGTGGCCCCCCGGGTTGGAGCCAACCATAAGTCGCTTACAATCCCGGCCGAGCCAAGATTGGGATGCGCCCTCAGGAGCCCTCAAGCACCACCGCATGGCCAGCACTGAGTCTCCGTCGTGACCATCCCCATAGGCGGTCTGCAAGCCTCACCCAGGTCGCACGGCTACAAGGTTGGTCGAGCAGACCCCTCTACCCACACCCGGGGTTATTAAGTGGTGCTTGCTGGCTGCTGAACTGTATTTTAACCTAATTCTGCTCCCGCAAGGGCCAAGCCTCTGCTTAGTCCCCTGCGCCCACTCAAACGCCCTTGCCACAAGTCCTGAAGGAAGATTTCATTTCCCTTCTCGGAAAGGTGCACACCATCCCCTCTGTACAGATCCGGAAAATCAAGCCGAATCTGGGGATAAGGCAAGTAGTGGCCCAATCCAACCTTCAACAGTTTATAAAACTCCCCATTGGCTCTACGCCGAGCCCTCTCGATCCCTTTAGGATCCAAAGCGTTACGCCAAACCCGGCGCGGAATCATGGCCGACCAAAGAATTACCGTGCCTGGCCATCGGCGCTTAATGCACTCCAGGTCATCCCTGGCTTGCAACACAAGGGCCTTCCCCTTCAGGAATCCCAAGTCGTTCCCCCTTAGGTGGAGAACCAACACATCTGGCGGCAAGGCTGAACTGGCCTGAAATAAAAGAGGGAGAAGGCCCGGCCAACGAAGGCCCCGGCGGCCCCTCCACTCTACCGTAGCCCACTGGCTGAGGCCCAGTTGCGAACCAATGGCCGATCGATTGGCCCGATGAGCCACCCAGAAGATGTAGCTGTGTCCGGAGATGAGAATCCGTCTCCTGCCACAAAACACAGCTCCTAGGAAGAAACAACAGTGAACTCCGGAACCAACAGCGTGAATAGCATTGCAAACAATAACTCAAACCAAGGAAAGAGGACGCACATAACGTTTGTAAGCAGCAGAACGCCACCTGCCCACTCTCTGAATGTCAGTAGTGGGATAGCCTAAGGCCGCCGCCGTGGAAGCAGCTCCTATTCTGAAGGAATGAGTGCCAAATTTCACTTCAGAAAGGCCTAACAATTCCAAAGCCCGGGCTGTAACAGCCCAAAACTGGTGCTTTGTCAGCGGACTACCATCAGCATGGATAAAGAGGTATCTGTCCGCCATGCCCCTAAAAGCCCTGTACTGAGACAAAGCCAATACAGGGCACAGCTCAGAGTCGGAACAGACACCCAACTTGACCACTGACCCTTTATGCCGCTGGTCAGTTTTGGATCCCCTGATCGTGATGTGCACCTCCTTTCCCTTAAATTGAAGGTCCCGAATGTGCAAAGCCCTGCCCGACTGGTCAGTCTTGGACGTCGCTACAAGCTTGCTTACTCTAAGTGCCCCAAAGAATGCCAGCAGCGAAGCCGCGTGGAACAGGCAGGCTTCAAAACCGGAAATGCACACTCTGGACCATGTTGCTTGCAATCCCCTCAGCACTGCAGGTGAAATAGGACGCCTTTGGTCTTTTAAGGCCCCCCTTTCCCTGGTCCAGCCTTCCAACATCTTTCTGATCTGAAAGTCCCCAGTGACTTCCTTAAAACCCATAGCCTTGCTAGCGAATGCAAGGGCAGAAAGACGTCCCCGTATGGAGCTAACAGCCAAACCTGCATCCTTTAAATAAACAGAGTAATGCATCAGCTGCTCCAACGCAATGGGCCAGACCCTGGGATAGCCCTCTAGCTTTCTAAACTCCTCGAATTGGCGAACTGACCATTCATAGCCTCTTCATGTGCTAGGGGCGATGGCGAGGCCTATTGCCCTGCAAGCCTCGGCCCTCCAACCTGCCATAGCTCCGGGGGCATCCTTGCCGGCAGAAGATCGGCGTCTGGAGCAAGCTGACGAAACCTCTCCATCTGTTTGCGAGAGAGAGCGTCAGCTACACCATTGTCCACCCCCGGCACATGCCTAGCTAAAAACAGTGTGTTGAGCCGCAGGCATCGCAGTGTAAAGGCTCGAACCAGGCACATTACCCGTGGTGATCTAGATGTGAGGGAATTGATGACGTGTACCACTGCCAAATTATCGCACCAAAAGTGCACTGTGTTATTCGCCAACTCATTCCCCCACAGCCAAACCGCCACTACAGTGGGGAAGAACTCCAGGTATGTCAGGTCTCTGGTAAACCCAGCAGAAACCCAGTCCTCAGGCACACCAGTGCCCACGAAAATAACCTCCAAAGCCCTGGGACCCTGCGGCATCTGACATGACCTGCAGCTCTGCTTCGAGCTTTAAGTCCTCCCGCCAAAAAGAGACTCCATTAAAGGAAGTCAAAAATTCCTGCCAAACCATGAGGTCATCCTTCATTGCGCTGTTCACACGCACCCTGTGATGCGGCCGCCGAAGCCCAGCCATTGCATCACACAGCCTGCGCAAGAAGGCCCGACCAGGGGCCACCACTTTACATGCGAAGTTAAGGTGCCCCACTAGCTGCTGGATTTCCCTCAGTGAAGCCTTCCTCAGAGAAAGGAATCCAAAAATACGATCCCTCAGGGCTGTGATTTTTTCCATGGGCAGTCGGGATGTCTGGGCCACTGTATCCAGCTCCACGCCCAGAAAAACCAACCTCTGTGCAGGGCCTTCAGTCTTTTCATGGGCCAAAGGAACCCCCAGCTCCGTGGCTAAATCCTGAAACCCTTGTAGGAGCTGGGCACATCTACCTGTTCCCTGAGGACCCACAAAAAGAAAATCATCCAAATAGTGTGCAACTTCCTGAAGGCCCGTCTTGGCTCATAAAGCCCATTCCAGGAATGAACTGAAGCGCTCAAACGCAGCACATGACACAGAACATCCCATGGGCAAAGGCCTGTCCATGAAGAACTGGCCATCAAAGGAGAAACCCAGCAGCTCGAAATCATCTGGATGCACGGGGAGGAGGCGAAATGCCGACTTAATATCGCACTTCGCCAACTCTGCCCCCCAACCACAGCGCCGCACAATCCGTACCGCTTGGTCAAAGGAGGTGTACCTCACCGTGCACAGATAATCAGGAATGGCATCATTAACCTTGGGGATATGAAAGGTGATGAATTAAACGAAATTCACCAGGTGCTTTTTTAGGCACAATCCCCAGAGGTGAAACTCTCAAATTAGGGATCGGTGGTGCAGAAAATGGGCCCAGAACACGGCCCTCTTCCAATTCCTTGTCAATCTTTTTTCTCACCACCAACTCCATGCCCTTAACTGATTTAAGATTAGAGGCCATAAACGGGGCCCTAACTCCCTGAAAGGGGATTCGAAAACCAAACGTGAAACCTTCTAACAAGTAAACTCTGTCCACTACGAGCCGTCAGGCTTATTGGACTGGGGCCCTTTACCAGTGGAGGAGGATGAACCGCCCCTTCCTCTCCGCCTCTGATTCCTGCCAGGCGTTCTTCGTGGACAAGATTGGAAGGCGTGGGGGCTGCCACACACAGGGCATTCATGCCGGAATGGGCATGACTTCCTGTCACATACCCCCCGGGACCCAAAATCCCAACAGAGCAAGCGGGGTTGAACCGCCTGCCCCGTGACACCACGGGAAGTATTGGTCCCCTGTAAACGCTGCACGATGTGGCCACTATGTGAGCGTTCAACAGCCGCTAAGTCAGGCGTGGACATAATTTGAAGCCACAGATGAGGATGCATCCTATCCCATGGAAGCATGGGATTCATAGCAGCCCTCATCTGGAACTCCTCATCATATTTAAGCCATGCCGGGCCCGGGAAGCCCGTATAGGCCTTATAAATTATGTCCAAGTACTGGAACAACGCCGGTGACCTCAAAGGCTGAGACCGAGACAACACACCAGCATAAATCAAATATCCTGCCAGCCAGTTGGCCCAGGTCCTGTCGACCTTCTTTCTCCTCAATATCTCCTTTTCCTTGTCATCCATCTCCTCTTTATGCTTCTTCTCTAAATCCCGGTAAAGAAGGCTAAAGAGGTCGATTAAATAAATCACCTTTACAAATGTTTTCTTTCGTTGCGGGCAAAAGGTGATCGCCCAAGGGCAAGGCGGTATCACCAAAAGGCATCGCGGATGCCGACGCAGCAGTGTAAGGGTTCACCCAAGGAGGGGTACACCCTGTACTACCCCAAGGACCAGCCGGAACATACCCCCAGGGGGACTGCATAGCTTGCGAAGGGGGCCCCCAAGCCCAGGACTGCGTATTATCGCCAGAGCTTTTTGCAGCGCCGGTCTGTGAGGCAGACGATGCCCCAGAGCCAGAACCTTGACCCCAAGGCCCCTACGGCCACATCAAGCTCATTTGCAGTGCCGGGTCCCACATACCACTAGGACCAGGCTGGACATGCTCCACCACTTCCACTCGCCCGCAGCCGCTCCAGACACCCCGGTATCACACCCATCATCA